AGCGCCTTTAAACCAGCAAGGAAAGACCAGGATAAATAAACAGATTAAAGCCGATGAGGCAACAAAATCCGAACGACGAACAATAGTGTATCCGGAAACAATTCCGACCGCGTCCCGCCGGCCGCTCGCGCGCCTCGACGCTCGCAGCTGATCGCGAGACGACAACAACGGCTCCCGACGAGAGCAAAAACGCGACCACGCACCAACGGCGTAACGTCGCCTGTAAATAATTGTAAATAGCTTTGAGATTAGAATATAGTTCCAAATTATTATCACCCATACCACTGGTTTTCATTTCACACACGAAACCCGGACCACACCGGCTAAAACTATCCCGCACGTAACGTAAGGCCGTTACATGTTGTCCCAGGGAACTAAGATGATCGCGCAACGTTTGTTGCCCCGCGAGCGTTTGTAACTGATGTCTAACGGATGTCGTGAGCGGCTCATCCAGGGTTTCGAAAACAATATTCTCATCATCAATGGGTAAAGTGTCGTTCATTGAAGATTCATATGGTTGCTCGTATAGAGCAACCTCGATGCTTTCCTCGATGTAAAAAATATTGGAGAATCGTCTAATCGTTTCCATTTCGGTGAAGGCAACGCGAACGTATCTGAATAATCCCACGACATGTCCAATAATTTTTCACTTTTTGTCGTGAGCGTCTTTTCTTCCGGTTTTGATATCGCATTCCTTGCTTCGACACTCGTACTCATCGATGGTGTCTTAATTTTAATACCAACGTTACTCTCTACATTAGCGATATTTTCCGCGATTTGCTTCAAAGGTTCGACGACGGGTCTAAAATGTCTTTCTAATGCAACATCTTCCTCCATTTTACCGGTTTTCAAAACGTGATACTTCTTGTGAATCGATTTGCTTGTTCTCGCAATATCTTTGGCTATCTTTTCGCGATCATTGATGTCCATGCTACTATTCATCATTAATGCGCATGCTTGCCTTTGTGGACGTTAGAACCACGTCAGAACAATGTTAGAACGACGTTAGAACTACATTAGAGCGATGTTACTACGTTAAAGTAACAATGATGATTATACAACTTATAGCTGCGATGATACTCGCGAAGTTGATTCGCGAGTAACGGCAGACAGTCGCCTGTCAGCCGCGTCGTCAAATTGCCGTCGGCTCCGGTTCACGCCACAAAAATTAAGACAATAGTTGGGCGCCAGGTGCGGAAAGGCCGCACCACCTTGGTAAACGCGATACGAAACACGTGACACAAAATTCGCGTGCCCCGGAAGCCGTCGGAACCGGCTCCTAGGACTTTAAGTCGGAGACGGGATGAGTCAGGAGAAGGCGAAAATGACTCCACGCGTATTCGGTAACAAAAAGTTTATTCTCGGGACTCTCGCACGTCCCGGTAAGACTGCGGTATAGTTCACAAACGAAACGCTAATCGCAATACGGTACGGTACTCGCGACAATGGAAAAGAGCAAGAAAAGGAACCCGAGGACGATCGCCTCGGGTGAGCCTTATGACACGCGCGGCCGCTCCGCAGACGAGACAACGGGACACGATCAACAACGATAACGATACGATAAAACACGAAGCAGATGGACGATCTTACAAAAAGTGGCGGCGGCCCTTGCGGCCTCTGGGGCCGGTAGCGGTGGTGACGTCTCCCCTTGGAGCCCTCGACAGTCCTCCTCACGCTCACGCTTCTCTCTCTCTCTCTCTCTCTCTCGCGCGCGCGCTCTCTCGCTCTCTCGCTCTCTCGCTCTCTCGCTCTCTCGCTCTCTCGCTCTCTCGCTCTCTCGCTCTCTCGCTCTCTC